TCCCTATGATCTACAGGGAAGTGCCAAAGAGCTGCGTAGCTATACGTGTCAATTCATCACTAAACTCATCTCCATGATGACCCACCCATAACCCTAACCCCTAAACCCTAAAACAAGGGCCCCTCCCTGCACCGGCTACCCTAAACCTGGACCCAGTAAACCCTAGAACCTAAAGCCTGGGCCCAAAAGACTCAACCCTGTTACCCCTAAACCCTAGGCCATACCCTGCAAACCCTAAACTCTACACACTAGGGCCTCAACTCGAAACCCTAAACCCGAGACCCTAAAGCCTTAACCCGAAAGCCCTTTACCCTTAAACCCTTAAACCCTTAAACCCTTAATTAAACCCTAAACCTTAAACCCTTCAACCTTGAACTCTGCATCCAACACCCTTAAACCCTAAACCTTGAACCCTGAATCCTAAACCCTTGAACCCTAAATCCTGAGACCCTAAACCCTGAATCCTAAATCACTGTTGAGCCGGCAGGCCGCGTTTTCTCCACGATGCGACAGAGGCCAAGCCCAAACGCATGATGTATGCAGGGTGTAGGGGATATAGTCCCCTTTAGTAGATAGAACGTGGGTTTGGGAATATTATAATAAGATCCCCATATACCCACATTCTATCTACATATCGGGGACTATAAGGTCTCATGGTTTAGGGGGTAAGGTCTTCAGGGGATAAGGTCTCAGGGTTTAGGAGAGAAGGTTTTAGGGTTGAGGGTGAAGGGGTTTTCGGGTTGAAAGAGCTTTAGGGCTTAAGGGGTTTGTGGCTTGGGGTTTAGGGGTTTATGCGTTCAGGGTTTAAGATATAGATGCAGATGCTATTTGTTCAAAAGCAATTTCCGTCCCGTGAGAGTAAACCTCCAGAGAGGGCTATGTAGGGGTGTATAGGCGCGTGGAAAAGACAATGGAAGCTACTGGCATGTAGAGCTGAGGGCTGCCAATCAACTTCCCCCACCCCCTACTATTCAGTACACCCAATGTAGTGCCACCATAATCAGGGAATATGCGTCATGAGGGGGGGCGCCTTACCAAGGTACGGGGTTAATTGGAACAATATCTGTGGGGGGTTCTACTGTAGGCTAGGGAATAAATAGGGTAGGGTAGGGTTTCGGGGTACATACAAAAGTTATGAAAGCTAAGAGGTTCAGGTCGTGGATTCAGGGTGTCAAAATTCAGGGAACACAGGCGATTTAGTGGAGGATAATCCCCTCCCCAGTAATAATACCCTCCCCTACACTACCGTTATAACAGAGGGGAATATTCATTATCATGGGGGGCCTCAGGTTACAGCCTTCTGAGTCCTGAGTCGAAGTTCAGACTAAGACACTCCCAGTACCCTTTACTGGGGATGTATGAGCTACAGTCTAAACTCCTTAAGGGGGGATATACAAGGGATGATATAGGGCACCACTATAGGGGTTATTAAGGGGGATACTAGGAGTTTGGACAATTGCTCATATTGGCTCCTAATAGTCGGTACTTTGGCCTTAATCGAGGGCAGGAGGAGGGTCGAAGGAATGATCCTTTCGTGGATCAACCCGTGCATCAAAGACCAACTGACTGCGAGTTTACTGTTGATGGATGCAATTTTGCACCACCTTAAGTCCTTCAAATCCTACGACTACAGCAGTTTAGAGGGCCCTAGGTACATGGGTTGCCTTACTAAACCCATCAGGTTCCCCCATGTAGCCGGCCCGCATTAGTTCAACATATCCTTATATAATCTTCGTCAAGAAAGACCGGGGGGTCTAGTATAGGGGGCCCGTAGGGGCATCCATAAGATATAAGCTGCCTCGACTCTCTAGGAAGATGCAAAAGATTGCGCCCAGAAAGCCTAACATCTCTTAATCAAGGAATATACCTTTTGCCGTGATGTGCAACCTAGTATCATGTAGAGTATATTTCCTAATTAAGGGATAATGGGCCTTCTGTGTATGTATATACCCCGGTTAGGACCTTGTTTTCGTCGGCGTCCGAATCTCCTGCAATTGTTTATTCCTCGAGAACGTACATCTCGGGGCTTATTGTTAGCGTTGTTTTCAACGAGGAAGTGCCCAGAAAGCCCAATATCCGTAATTACGAAAATATACCCTGAATGCCACTAGGATCCCTGATAATTTAAGGTAAACTCCCTAGGCAAGGGATCTTTGGCTTTCTGGTGTCATTGCTGGGCGCACATTTCGAGACTCCCCATGATGTCATGCAACAGTAACTATGGTTGCGCATTTCGAGCCGACGCCACGAGTCTAATTGCTGATCGTGTTAAAACTCCTGGCTTTGTAGCAGACTTACGGACATTTGGCAGCTGTCAACAAAGGGGTCCTATCCCCCAGTCCCAGTACATTGTGATTAGAACAAATAGATGTACATTCACAAAGGTCTCGCTGTTTTTGACCAAGCTTTCGGTAACTCTCATAATGCTGTTGGTGCATGGGGAAGCACTGCAGGCAGGATGTAAACACGGTAAGCTGTTTAAAGTTTGCACATGTGGTATTTCCGAACAGTACGAGACCTGCCCCCCAACACGGCGCTTTAATCTTTCAGGTTGAGGTCTAGGACCGTCAGAGTTGTTGTGCTTTAGAAAGGTGAGAAAATATTTGCACAGAAGTCCACAGTAATTACTGGGTCAAAGAGGCCCAAGGTGAGTTTGAATTGTGTCTAGGGTACGAACATGTGGCTACTTCCCTGATTGGCATACTAAGGGTCCTCCTTTTTAAAGTTGCTACTTAGGGGTTCCCACTTTGACCGCATTGTGTCACAAGCTGCGACTTAGATTGTTTTATTTCAAAGAGGTACCCTAAGCGACCTTAGAGATGTTTAGGGGTCCTACGTGGGTTACGGCGGGATGATTTTGCTCAACTTCCCTTCGTGCTTGGCAGGCCAAAGAGCAACGGATGTGGCGGCCTCATAGCGGGGCAAGGTTCGGACCTTTCCAACTTAGACGCCCTGAGCTCTAAACTACCAGGACCTCCTGGTACCCTTAATTGGGGATATATGGTCCCTAATAATGGGTACTTAGGCCTTGATAGAGGTTAGGAGGAGGGTCTAGGTAGATAGATCAGGGTTTAGGGCTTGCCGATTTTAGGGGCTAGGGTTTGTTTACAGCTTGAATTTTAGAGACGAACACCCAAGCCTAGAGTTTGAGGGGCTTTGAGGGTTTAGATTGGGGTTCAGGGTTTGAGGTTTAGATTTGGGGAGGAGCTTCTCAGAAAACTTCTGAACCCAATCCCCCCACATTTTTAGCATTTTCCAACACGTGCCAGGGCATCCCCATTCTGAAAGATCCCTTCGTAGACCGTATGCCCGAAACAGGGAGAACCTCTGAAGAGTGGAGTGCGGAAGTACCTGGAAGCGGTCAAAGTTTCTGCGTTTGGGGTAGAAGCCTGCGTGATTTGGAATAAGGTTTTTCGGAGGAGTGTACGCAATAGTATGAGAGTTCCTTCATGTACCCTTACAGAACCCGTAACGGCTGACTCTCTATGGTGGATGCTACTAAAAATCCAGCATGACCCTAAGTACCTTATACTTGGGAGTTATGGTGCTATGGTATACGAAGGTCATGCATGAATTTTAGTATCAACGCTGTCCACTTGCTGTCCATCTGCTTCTAGGATCCAGAAGGGCAATCTTTGTTAAGATGCCTCTGTGTCATTCGAGCCAGGCCCTGCATTAGATCCTGTGGATTGCCAGCCCCACAGGCCCACAGGCCCTTTTTGTAGTCAGCATGGCCTTTTGTATGCTTTCTTAGAAGGTCTGTCTTCTCTGAGGGCCCCTAACAATCTACGTCGGATTTCTGTCTCAAGCAATTTACGGGCTCTATCGCACCTTTTCACTCCTTGCCCCGTGGAACCCCAGAGTATCTTTATGTCGGATGTGCGTAACGGGTTATTTCGAAAGGCCTCAATCAAGCCCTAAAAGAATTTCAATCTCCAGCCCCTTAACCCTAAACCCAAAGCAAAACCCAAACCAAGATCCTGATTAAGCTCACAAACGAAACCCTATACAAACCTGAAACCCAGGCCCCGCAGCAAAATTCTTCAATCGAAGCCCAAGCAGCGAAAGCCCAAGCCCAAAACCAACACCCTCAACCCAACATGCAAGCCCGAAACCAAACCCTAGACCGAAGCCCAAAACCAAGACCCTGAGCGTTGGACCAAAGCCCAAAACCAAGCCCAGAACCCTAAACCCAAGCCTAAGCACAAATGGCAACATCAAAGCCCTTATATTGTGTCAGGATGTTTTCCAGATGGTATTGAGTACTTGAACGTTCATCGGCGCTTCGGTGGGGCTTGAATGATAATGTACGGGGGGGGTTAAGGCTCGACTTTTCACGACCCCTGAACCCTCAAGTCCCGAACATTGCTAGTAAGGAAGTTGAATTCTAAACCGGCCTATCACGATTGTAGCTTAATTCAAGTCTTTTGCCGGCAAGCCAGAAGAGGGACGGCGTAAGCGTCTTGGCGTATCCCTTCCCCTACTAATCAACCCCCCACCTCCCTAATGCCCGGTTCAGGGTTTAGGGTAAAAACATTCTTCAAATTCTATACCGGTACTGTATTGGGGTTCATGTATGCTAAAGGGTGGTGGTGGATACATGCTTTGTTCATATACCCTAAACCCTAAGTAGTAGTTTCCATTCTATTTTCCATTATCCCAATATAGCCCCCAATGTAGCCCCAGTATTACCCCATTTTTCACAGACCCTAAACCCTAAAGCTTCAGGGTTCGTTTTGCCAGCAACTTCCCTTCTGGCTCTTCAGCTGCATGGCCCCACAACATGCGCCGCATGGGACTGGAGAAGTTCATGAGAGTCTAGGCATTAGGCTTCAGGGTTTGGATGTTAGACTGTAGGGTTGGAGTGTGGAGTGTTTGGGAGGTTAGGGTTCAACTTGTTTTGGTTGAGGGATGGCATGCTGAACTGACGTTTCAGACATGTATTGCTACGTATCGACTCAACTCAGAGGCGTGGCCCTTCCGCCTTGCCTCTTGCAGCCATGGTTGCATCCATAGACGTTCAGGCATTGCGGGCTGCCATGCAGAACAAGCAGTTCCATGCCAAGGAGCAGTCGCTACTAAAGATGATTCAACAAGCCGAGGCTACTGGGTTGCTGTCAAGAAGCATATAACTTAGGTTCCCGTAATTAGATAATAGCCTCTCTACCTATCTGTCTATGTATCTATCCATCTACCTATGTGTGCATGCACGTATGTATGTCTGCATGCATGCAGGTATGTATGCATGCATGCATGCATGGATGGATGGATGGATGTATGTATGTATGTATGCATGCATGTCTATACTTGACGCCAGTGCTTCCTCATAATCGCAGCCAAATTCCATCCTGTAACATCAGCCCAGGCTATTCATGTTCAACAGCGGAACATGCTCGCCACAGCCAGAGATCTTGCTGAAGTGTTCACCCTGCAGGCTGGAGTTTATTCGGAAATTTATATGAGCTATAGTCTAAATCCCTTAAAGGGGGTTATATATGGGATTATTCAGGGGACTACCATCGTGCTTATTAAAGGGGATACTATGAGTCTAGACCATAGCTCATTTTTTAGCATAGAAGGGCCTACCTAGAAGGTTGTCTAGAGAGGTTGTGAACTGGCTATAGAGTATCAGTCCAAGGAGCCTTCACAGCCACAACTTACACTCTTGCGTCAGACATGTAAGATCGAAGGTGGATGCCTACAAGCTGGAGGTGACGCCCTTTGACACCATCGCAAACCTCGCGGAGCAGCTGGCGCAGCATGTCGACTGCGTGGCCAGCTCGCTGGCAATCACTAAGGATGGCCAGGCGAAGGGTTTCTTGAAAAATGGGTTGCTCGGATAATGAAAGGCGTATTGGGGGTCCACGCTATGTAGGAGTGCGTAGGGATCATGTTGAGACATTCCAACGCGGGGGACCCTCAAAACAAGAGGTGGCTTGCCTGCTACAAAAGAAAATTGAATCTGATAAGGGGTACTACAAAGGCTCCTGTCACTGTCAAGAAAGCCCAGAATTCCATGCTTGTTTGGAGGCAGTAGAGAGCTATGACGGAGCGGGATGATCAGACAAGTGATTCAGAGTTCAGGGTCCCCTGTGCAGTAGGAGTTTCCATTGAGATGGTTGCCTGTGTATTGCAGTAAAACATAGGACTGGTTCAGGTCTTGCCGGGCGAAGCCACGCTCAGTTTGCTTGGGATCTCAGCAAGTGTCGCCCTGGGCGTCAAGTATCCTGCCGCAAAGGGCAAGCAGAAGCGGCGGAACGGCCGTAGTGGCGCAGCGCGGCCCAAAAAGGCTGCGAAGGTCTCTGAAAAGGCCCAACCCATATCCCACGTCTGCGTGAAAACTTTGACTGGTAAGACCTTGCGTGTGGCGGAGATCGACGGCGCCACAACTGTTGACGAGGTAAAGCAAAAGATCCTGGACTGAATCACGAGCAGTTCCCTGCCAGACTTTCCCCATACCCAATATTCTATTTGTGGGATAAGAAAGCCTTCAGAAGACGTCGGAATTGCAGCAGAGTATCTGCAGCCCCTTGCAACAACTCCATGTCACAGAATGGGCCACTTATGGACTTAATAGCCCATGCTCATAACGTAGCTGTCAGGTCGCAGTGTCGCTTAGTAACAAAGATTTGCAATAGCGGGGCAAAGGTTTCCCGTGACAGCCCCGGTTTTCAGACACTCATACACGTGGCAAGAGCAGGAATCGCATCCAAATTAGTTTGGGCACTCGGTTCTGTCGATGGCAGGGTGATTTAGACCATGCAGAAGACCCTGTGGCAGCGTTGTTTTCATGGTCTCACCAGCCAATTATGAGTTCAGCCGAGGATCCAGGACCGCGAAGGCATCCCCCCAGACCAACAGCGCCTGATCTGTAGAGGGAACCAGCTTGATGATGACAAAACCCTCGCCGACTACCACATTCCACATGCGTCCACCCTGCACCTAGTGCTGCGTCTCCGTGGCGGCATGTACGATCCCATCTCTGGTCGTGACGGTTTTGAAGTGCTCTCAGACAGGATTGTGTTCAAGAATGGAAACACTCTGCTGTTCGACGGGAGCCCGGAAAGCCTGCAATGTTACAGCAGTCTTGAGCGCAGGGTGGTCTCCTTTGCGTCCAAGGAAGACATGCTCAGCCACCTAGAAGCCTGCCGCATTGAGGCATTACTCGAGCGCCTGCAGCAGGTCCAGAACCGAAGCGAAACTAGAACTGGATCCAGCAGGTTGTTTCACATTGGTGGGTCAAAGCACAACTAGATTGTACAGCAAGGAGATTAGGCTAGAGGATTTCTTATAAGTTTCTAGAGTCCCGGTCATTCTTTCCATGAAGCCCTCACAATGAGGGCCCCCTGTTTATGGAACCCCACCAAATCCAAAACTTTGAGCCCTGCACCCGGAATCCTAACCTCCGTGTGAAATCAGGAGAAAGTTGAGAAGGAAGCAGCTCTTTGGATGTCCAGGGCCGCGCTGGTGTCCGCAGCGGCTACCTAAAAGCCGGCACTGAGGGACCCTGGGGTCATAAGTTTAGGGCTTTACGTTCGAGGGGTTGGGAGTTTGCGGTTTAGGGCTTTGGGGTTTTAGGGCTGAGGGTGGCAGGTCTGGCTGGACATCACTTTGCCCGTGCTAGATTACAAAAAATACCGTTGACTTCAAGGACAGTAGCTTAACCTGACCTAGAACTACCTTGAACCTCCCAGGTAGGTGTTACGCTTTCGAAGCTCACGTAGATGGTTTGAGGACGTAGGGTTGAGTGCTCTTCTGTGTAGTGTTTTTGTGCGCGGAAATTTTGTTGACGTGTGAATGGCCTAAACCCTAAACTATGGGTCCCCGGCAGCCGCGGAAGATCCACTGCTTGGGAATGCCTTGCGGGAAGGGATGCAGGTTTATGGTTTAGGTTCAGGGTTTACGGCTTAGGGCTCAGGGTTTAGGGCTTAGGGTTCAGGGTTTAGGGTTGAAGGTTTTGGCATCCCTACCATGAGGCGCATGATAGGGGTACAGTTGGAAGACATCGCCACTTGACAAAATGAAGTTGCTTGCCCGCTGCGTCGTGTCAACGCTGGGTTCTCGTTATGGATGATATTTTGAAGCTGGAGCAACGCTCTTGGCAACTAGATCCACGTATCACATATGTTTGGGGGGCTGGCTTCCGGTAGAAACACTTTGGCCCTTTGTATTTAGAGTCCGGTACTCGCATAGCGGGACCAGAATATCACCAGTACATAATTCTACCCTGAGATTCCCCTTGAAGCCTCATGCCCACCCTGTATCGCGGGATGCGATATCATTTTTGGGCGAGCAGTTTTCTTACAGGCTTTCACACAAATTCAGAACCTTAAACCCTAAACCAGACGTACGTAAGCTGGAGCAGACTTTAAGCCAGGAGCTTTGATGGTGGCTGTAGCTAATGTTCCGTCAAGGCTTTTAGGCAACTGCCCAAACCCTACCCGCCCTTTATGATCCGTCTACATCGTAAACCCTCTTCCTTCCAAACTTGTTAAAGACATGCCTGCAAGAACAGGGGTTTGGCTACTATCCCAAAACGTCCAAATCTACACCCATTGAGGAATTGGGACCCATAATTCTCCTAGAGTATGGTATTCTGGGGCTAATTCCCTAATAGTTGTACATATGGACTTTCTGGGTATTGGGACTGCCACCAAAAACACTTTTGGAACCCACCATTTGAAAAAGCTCCGAGGTGCTTCCAGAAGCATGTTCGGCAGCCTCCACCGTCTGCCCCACAGCAATGCTCTTCGATGTGTAGGGTTTATGCTTAGCTTTTTGTAGGGTGTTAGGGTTGAGCTTGGGTACTGTCCCCACTCAGTAACAGCTGGATAATACTTATAATATGGTTATATATAGCCCTTAATAGGACCCTAATGTAGACTGTTAGTAGGTGGGGGCAGTACCCAAGGTTGAGCTTTGATTCCTCAGGGATAGGGCGCAGAGAGCAGCAAAGCTCTGGAGCCTCCAGGTTTCAACTTCAGACGCCGCACCCTGCCAGCCCTGAGGGTCCGGACCCAAATAATAGGGTTTTAGGGCCCAAATACTATACGATTAATGGTATTTATCAGACACCGCACCCTATCAAATTGGGTTATATTACCCCCAAAATGGAGAGTCACATGGAAAAGAAAATGGAACATGAAATGGAAACTGGGATTATGTATGGGTTACATAGGGATTATATGCTGCTAGAGGATCAGGGTTTGATACGGGTTTTTGGCTTGAGGCGTTTCAAGGGTCGGTATATGTCTGCTGTCACTGAGGACAACGCTACCCAAACCGAAAACCATAGTCATGGCCCAAGTGGTCATCCCCCAGCAAAGCAACATTTCTCCCGAAGCCTCCAAGTCTGCAATCAACACCAAGCGCATGCGCCGCCAAACCATAAAACCTTTGACATTCGACTGCCAAACTGCCCAAACTCTCAACTACAAACCCAAATTCACCCCCAAGCCCCGAACAAAGGGGCTGTTGCACGATCTACTGTATGGCAGGCGCGGAAGTCTTCCAAGTCCTCTGACTCTACGCAGGCAGCCTTTCATGGACTAGTGCATCATGCTTACTAGTGCATACATGCGAATATGTGTACACATGTACAGAGAGAGAGAGAGAGAGATATATATATATATGGTACCCCCCCCAAAAAAAAACCTACCTTTTACATGAATC